TAAAAAATTACATCAATTTAAATAATTTCTCCTTAATTATGTCTTGTTTGTTTGTTTTTGACAGATGACCAGTGAAACTAAAAAAAAAGGAGTGAGTTCAATTTTTTATATTTCTTGTTTTGCAAATGTTCGAAGAAATTATTATAAAATCGTTCCTTATAAGACCACCTACTAAGTCCCATTCTAGAAAAGAAAGAAATTTAGAAACTGAGATTTTAATTTTCTCTGCCCAAGGGAACAGACATGTCATGGTTCATAATATGGGTTTTAAAAATCCTACTTTTGTTGCTATTCATTATTTGAGGGTTAATTGTGTAACTATTTTAGGTCTTATTCCAGACAGCTGAAAAATATATTCAAGTTATAAAGGAAATGCATCTCCCTTTTCTATTAGGGCAATAATTGATTATTCTAATATTAATTATCTATTTCCTATTACATAAAATTATATATTAAATTATCTATTTCCTAGTTGAGGCTAGGAATTGCTTCTTAATCAAAAACTATGGTACTGAATACCAATAGTAGGTACTCAATAAATGATTGATGAATGAATAAATATAAACAGTTATGTTCAGTAAAAATATAATAGCTGTCATGATAGAAGTACGAAGAGACTACAGGCCGGGCATGGTGGCTCACACCTGTAATCCTCGCACTCTGGGAGGCCAAGGTGGAAGGATGGCTTGAACCTAGGAGTTTGAGGTTGCTGTGGGCTAGGCTGATGCCATGGCACTGTAGCCCAGGCAACAGAATGAGACTCTGTCTCAAAAAAAAAAAAAAAGAGAGAGAGACTACAGTGAGAGTATAAAGTAGGAAGTTTTCAAGAAAGATTTTGAAAGTAATTGGTTTGATTCAGAAAAGACAGCGTTTTGCGAAGGAAGATTATGTACTTTAATTGTAAGGGTCAAACATATTTTTATTTTGGGAGATGAAATGGTTAAAAAAAGGTGTAAGTTAAAGATACATAATTAGAATAATGAATTTAAATTTCCTGTCATTAGATAGTCATATAATAATTCTATTCAAGCCTAGTTTTTTCAATATAATATTTCAAAGCTTGACCCTGACCTGCTTTATAGAACTACTGTAGTTTTGGGAGGATTGAAAAATATCTTTTTTGTTTGTAATTAATTCATTTATTCATGAAATGCTTAATAGATATCTACTATTTACTTGGTCCTGTGCTAGATGCTGAAGATTGATAAATAAGATGGACACATAAGCCGTTGTGGAGCCTGTACTCTAATGGGGAAGATGTGTAATAATCAAGTAAACAAACAAAATATTGTTTATTTTTTATTTTATTTATTAAATAAACAAAATTATGACAAGAACTGTGAAGGAAATACAGGGTGATATGATAGTGACTGGTAAGGAAGTGGGCCCATATTAGGCTGGTGGCCAGAGAAGGCATCCCTGAGTTGGTAATGTTTAGGGAGGCCCGAGTGGAAGAAAGGAGCCAGCCATGGAAAGACCTGGGGTTGAGAATTCCCCAACAGAGGGAACGGAAAGAATCAGTATGCTCAGCTTGACTAGAGCATACTGATTGAGTTTACGAGGGTATAAAGGGAACTGGAAGAGGAAGTTAGGAGCCAGATCATGAGGGCCTTGTAGGCTACTGTAAGGAGTTTGGATTTTACTCAAAGTGGCGATGAGAAGTCATTGGAGGATTCTAACCATGGGACTATTATAACAATTTACTTTTAATGATAAAAAGTCACTTTGAAAATGATATGAAAAAACCCACTTAGATGCTTTAGAAAATGGATTGTGGCCAGAACAAGAGTGAAAAGAAGGAAGAACCAGTTGGTTATAGAAGACAACATATAGGTAAGAGATAATTGTAGTTTAAACTAGAGTGATAGGAATAGAGCTAGAGAGAAATTGTTAAACTCAGGATATATTTTGGATGTAGACCTGACAGGACTTGCTGACAGATTGGGTGTGGAGGGTGAAGAAAAGAGGAACTAAGGATGACTCTTAGGGTTTGGGCCTGATTTCACAGGGTAATTGGTGGTGCTGATTGTTAATATCATCTAGAGAGAAACAGAAGAGAAAGAGGCAGAGAGAACCAGGTTCATTACTAGACAGAGGTCAGTCCATTGATGTATGAGGGATTGGGGACCATCACAAGACTTCTAAGACTGAGCAGTATATTAATGGAGGGACATAGAAAATGATCCTCTGGAAGAATTTTGAAGTGAGCAACTATTAATAATAA